CTGGAAAACAAGCCTGCCCTCCAGAGCTGCTGCTGGTTTTACTGGGAGAGCAGAGTCCTCTAGTGGAGGCACGCTGTAGTCCAGCACAAATTGCTGGCAAAGCTGCAAGACCTCTGAATGATACCTTAAGCCAACAGAAGCGCTTTTCTGGTGGCATAACAGTGTCTCTGCTGAGCTTTTGCCAACAGCTGTGTCAACTGAAGGTTGTGGCTGTTCCACGCTCCTTGCCAAGGCTCCTGCGCCAGCAGATCTTTCAGTACAGACCAGACTCTACTCTCGTTAAATCGTACAAATTCTGTGTTTGCATGAGGGCCTGCGTGTGTTGCTAGTGCAGGTATTCTTTGCACCTTCACGTAGTACATTTGAGTGCTGTGTCGTGACTGCCCTGCGTCCTGGTGCTGATGCCTGGCTATCATGGGTTGCTGTTTTTCTGTTGCAGAACTGCGATGAGAGGTTTCAGTACAAGTACCAGCTGCGTTCCCACATGAGCATTCACATTGGGCACAAACAGTTCATGTGCCAGTGGTGTGGCAAAGACTTCAACATGAAACAGTACTTTGATGAGCACATGAAAACACACACTGGTAAGAGCTTGTCAAAGAAAAGCACAAGTACCTGCAGGTCAGATACTTCCAGGTGTATTCTCTTCCTTGGAATTTGGAATCAAAACTGTTATCCAACCTAGAAAGTCAGACAGGAGAGGTTAATACATTACCTTACTGTTAAATCTGTAGTCCTGTGGTTCACTGTGGGGGAGAATGAGAGGATGGGCTTACTTCCCTGTTATTTTGGTCTGAAGGATCCCCACGCCAAAGCCTGATAAAAGGTTGTCTCGTGCATCAAAATCCAAAGGTGAGAGAGGATTTCATAAAAGTTGAGGACTGACTTCTGTGGAGCAGCTGTCTCTTTATTTGCTGAAGGTAGCAGTCCCAGTAGCTTTTGCAGGATGCAGTTTGTTTGCATAAGTACGCTAAAGTAAGTATGAGCAGATGTTCTGCGCCTGACTGATTGCTGTATCTGTGTTCGGCAGGAGAGAAGCCCTTTATCTGTGAAATCTGCGGGAAAAGCTTCACCAGCCGCCCAAACATGAAGAGACATCGCAGAACTCACACAGGGGAGAAGCCCTACCCGTGTGATGTGTGTGGCCAGCGATTTCGCTTCTCCAACATGCTCAAGGCACACAAGGAGAAGTGCTTCCGAGTTACAAGCCCTGTCAATGTGTCAACTGCTGTCCCGATCCCACTGTCCACGACTTCTCCTGCCACCACGGTCCCTGCTGTAGTGAACACACCCACCACCCCAGCTCCCCCCATCACCCTCAACCCTGTGAGCACACTTCCTCCACGCCCCATTCCTCACCCATATTCACACCTTCACCTACATCCTCATCCTCACCATCCACATCATCTCCCGGTCCCCCCGGTTCCTCATTTACCCCCTCCTCCAGCTCTTTTTAAGAGTGAGCCTTTAAATCACAGAGGCCAGAGTGAGGACAACTTTCTGCGACACCTGGCAGAAAAAAACAGTTCAGCACAGCACCACTAACACCTTTGCTTCCTGCCAGCTATTTGCCCATTTTATGCACATGGAAACATGCCCTCGTGGAAGTACAGAGGGTTAGTTGGTGAGGATCTTTGTCTTTCTCTTAGCCCCGGCAGATGGTCCTGATTTTTCCCTCGAATCGGTTAACAAACAAGGAAATCCTGTCTTGGATCAGCAGTGCTCATCTGAACCTGGGAACCAACAGGACTTAAACCCGATTTGCTTGCGTTTTACTGGTGACTTTTATAAATTTCAGATACTGAGACTTGTGGAATTTTATAATTTCATATCAGCTGATGAGGTATGCTTGCTTTTATATCCTGGACTTCTCCTCAAAGAGGAGACAGGCCCAGTTTTCTTTGTACTAATCGGAAAGGCTGTGAGATTAATACAGAGCATTAATTGTATCACTGTGTATCGTAATGGATTCTTTTCAGCTTTTGGTGCCGGCTATGGAGTGAGCCAGCCACGTATCACAGTATATTGGAGCATTATAAAGAAAGACAAAAAAATTTCTTGTTTGTGTAGCTCTCCTAACACACTCTTTATTTTACTACAGAAATTATTTTAGAGTTTTTTGTATAGACCTATTTAGTAGTCTGTTTCTAAAATGAAATGTATTTCAATAAGCGGTGTAATTTTTTCAGTGTAGCTGGACCTATGTTGTATAATAGATAAATTTTTATAATCATCAAAATGTGATTCTTAAAAGATGCATATAGCTTCTATAGTTAAAGTTATTCTTACAACCATACAACTTAAAAGGTGCTTCAGAGAAGAAAGGAACCCAAGAGGTCTCTGGAAAGGTTGCCTCAAAAGTGATATTGATTTCAGAACTTTACGTAATTTATTTTAGTAAGGCTTTTTTTTTTTTTCTTCCTCCTCCCGTTACCTTTCTCTTAAACTTTTTGGACAAGGACGTTGGGGTGCTGTATTCCTGCTCCACAGGTTTTCTCTAGTTCAGTTGAGGTATGAGATGGGTTAGAAAGGGAACCTCCGACGTTAGGGACCCACTAGAGAGTCACAAGAGGATGAGAGATCTGACAGCAGAGAGGGAATCGAGTATCTCAAACCAGCCAAGCATCTTGTCCCTTTATATAGGAGAGCCGGTTTTAGTGACTTTTCGTGGTATGATTTGAAGTTGGGGATCATGTCAAATGCTGCTCTTCAGATTGCTTTCTGGAATTCCTGGAGCTGTTAGGAGAGGGGAATTAAGTGAGATCGTAAATGTGGTGTTTCTGACTGGTTGACTGTAAGAGCGAGAAGAGAAGTTTGAATGAGACAATGGTCTTTCGGTTGCATTGTTAAGAAAATGCTGGTAGCACTGTATGTACTGTGTGAAGCTCTATCCCATAAATGTAATGTGCATAAAATTATGGGATGATTTCTAGGGGTCGTAGTCACAGATTTGGCAAATCTCAGTTTTACAGCTGTAGGATAGGAACCTTGGAGTTGTAGACATGTCACTGTTCATGATCCTGGGAGGCAGTGAGGGGGAAATGACAAGTTAGTGCAGGGATGGTGGGCTGGAATGCCAAATGTATCTGTTTTAACCAGTGAGTAGCTGTTATTTTTTCAGGTTCGTATTTCTCTTCTAAAACTAAATATAGCAGCATTATGCAATCTAGGAAATTGTTGCCACCTTCAATGAAGACAGAGGCCCAAGGCAATGTACTGTAAGTCCTCTTTTCCTTAAAATTCCTACTCTTCTGTGCTGCTTTTTCAACTAAATCCCACCAAACTATACATCCAGAGATCCTCATAGGCAGATGTCTAACTTACCATTCTGCTTGGTGATGAACTGGGATTTTGTGGCTAATGGGATTTTTTTTCAATATAGCAGAAATGGTTCTTCCCAGCGTTACTTCCTCAAGGTTAATGCTGTTAAGCACTGTGTTTTGAAACGCCATCTACTCTGTCTGTTGAGAATTAGCTTCTTAGTTGGTATTTTTCACCATTTCCTACCACCTAATCATCAATGTTGGTTTGGTTTTTTTTTTTCATAACAAGCGTAGGAAACTTAAGGAACCAGAAAGGGTATTTTTGGCCCAACAAACCTACTCATTTTTGACTGAGCTGAAACCCCTTCCAGTATTTCTGAAAAAATAAAACAATGGTTTTTTAAATGTTTTCTCTATAATATTTATATACACCCTTTTACCTTTTAGAAAAGAAAATTACAAAAGTGAACTTACACTCGTTGATTCTGACTGTTGTATTTACTGTGGCTGGTCCGCCCCAGAGGTTCTATGCATTCCACGTCACATTTGCAACCTACATTTCTGTTGTGCTACTATTTTATGGTCAGGCCTGTTATTAAATGATTTTTAAATGCTAAAAAAAAAATTCTTGGTAAATCAATTGTATTCCAGTTTTGCAAAATGATTTTCTTCTCAATAAATTTACAGTATTAGGCTGCTATTCAGAATTCTAAAATCTGGGACAGTTTTTTTTTTTTCTATTATTTAGTTTATAGCAATGATACACCTTGTACTTTTTTTTTGCCTTCCAAGACTTAGGAACTTCCTTTCTGTGTAAGAAGATTAAATTATCTAACCCGCTTAACAGTCTGTCATAATGTGACATGATGTCAACAGATTCTCTTCATTATCTGGGACAAACATATCGAAAGCTGACATACTGGTCTAAAAGTGCCGCAGTGTGATATCTTATAAAGTACATATTTCAGCAAAAGAGGGAAAAATGGGTGTTACAAAAGGCAGGAAATTAGAGGTTGAGATTTGCTCTGCCTTCTCATTTTTGCTTGAATTTGCATTGCCATGGGCACTTTCTACAGAGTTTGCCCAACACTAAGGAATGTATTCAAGTGCATTTACGACTTTTTTATTTTGTTGACAAACCAAGTGTAACGTTTTGTATCAGCTTTACTGTGTTTAGTCAGTTAAGGGGGTTGGTTTGTGGTGTTAAAATGCTTCCTCCAAGAAGAGCAAAGACAGATTATACCACCTTTGGGTCTTTTTTTTTTTTTTCTTTTTTTTCCCCAAACATCCTACAGCCTAAGGCAAAGTTTACTGAGTTGTTAACGTTGGGAATTGAGCAGAATGAACACCCAGTAGGGAGCAGTACAAAGGACAGCGTCTTTTCTGGAGAAATGTAAACTGCTGTTCTGGCAGACAGTGCCTTATCCTTACTAAAGGCATGAGCTGTGTGAGCTTGTTTGTTCAGTGGATTATCTCAGACGAACTTATCTTCCTGGATAAAGGTGTGGTGATTATTTGTTTTGTATTGTCATGCCTGAATTATTGACTCTCCTGTTTACACAGCTCAGGTGCTGCTTGATGGCCTCGTTTGCGTTGCTGCACAGGTCAAAATTACTGACACCCACCTTGTGTTCCCAACCAAATCTGAAATTACAGACGGCTGAAAAAGGCCTGTAAGCTGAATTTAGGCTTTTGTCATGGGGAAATTAGTTCATATCTCAGTGCAGTCCGTCTGGATGATTTTGTCTTTGCCCTGTTGTGTCTCTTGAGCATGTAAGAGCTATTTTCAATTTGTTGAAGAGAGGAGGAGGTGGAGCTCAGGGTGTGCAGTGTAAAAGACAGTGCTTCCCTTTGGCAGGTTGAGTCAGTTCTAGCCAAGTGACAGACCAAGTTTACCTCTGAGCTGAAAAAATCAGTATTTTTGCAATACATTGGAATTTGTTGCCTATTTCTTTACATTATAGTGACCAATGGTGTGACAGTCAGTGGGACTGAGGACCTTTTTTTTCCGAGTTTGAGCGGGGCTGTTTCTATTTGTGCAAAGATAGTGTTGTGTTGCCACTTTTTAGTTTGATTTATTACTTGCAGAGTATGTAGTAATGTGCCTTTGAGAACATGATTAAACGATATGCAGCATGCAGGGAGGCACTCAAGGACACTAATAATGTCAAATTTTTTTTCACTCTTGGGACTTAAGCTCAGGGTTGCAGAATGTTTAAATTATTATTATTTTATGATTTCATATTTCTATTGACTAACGGTATTTAAAAAAAACAGTCTGTGGCTCAACAAGACTTTTTTTACCTGCTCATAAGGAACATCTCACTTGTAAATAGGAGATGGATCAAGTTTCTGGTTTTAGTGTTGGTTTTGGTCTTTAAACCTGGGAGATGCGGCTACCTGAGAGTTGGTGGAGGTAAATGAAATAAACGATTACCCGTTTTCATGACAAAATGAACTGACAGTTTTCCAGCCTGTTCTGTACTGTGCTATGATTAAGACGTGAGTGATTCTTAATGGAAAACACGACTTGATTCTTATTCCTTGCCTGCTTCTGAACTCTGAGCTCTACTGTTTTTCAGCAGTGACTACAAGTTCTTCAGATCTCTGTCCTTACAGCCTGATGATGTTATTTTTTTAACTGGCATGTAATTTTTTTTAATTATTACTATCTGAGCGGGGGCACAGTATGTACTGCTGGGCAAGAAAACTCATGTAGAGTTCGAGCCTGGGTGTGATCTTCTGCATCTTGGTTAGGAAAGTGTGGAGGTATGTGTACTTGTTATAACCAATAGCCACGTCTTTGAAAGATGATATTTTTATGTTAAAGACAGTGAGTCTGGCACTATGTACTCTCCTGAGTAATTCTAGATAATCTTATCATGCACTGCTTTCAACACTTTGGAATTGCCATCTGACTTTTCAGAAATCAACGTGGCAGAAGAATTAAAATCCACCCTTAAAGAGAGAGAAGTTCAAAAGAAAGGCAAGCATTTCCATGTCCTAGAGACACTAGGAAAAAAAGTCTACCTTGGGGGGTTCACAGATGCCCTTAATAAAGATTTTTATCCTGGCAACAAGATAATTCTGAATAAAAAATGAGAATGATATTAATTTCATTACTGCTTTCTGAGCCACCAAGATAATTTCTGCCTGAATTGACCTGTTCAGATTTATGCTGGTGCCTAAGAAAAAGTTTGTTGTGGATGGCAGGGGACACCGTCTGCTCTCAGAAATAATCAGTGCTTTTTTGGGACAATGCTGCTGCCTTCTGTCTCGTTAGCTGTGCTTTTTTAAAGGAGGATAAAGATTTGAGAAGGATTTGCTTGATTGGGTTTTTGGTGTGTTGGGGTTTTTTTGCTCTCCGTTTTTAAAATTGGCCTGTCTCTGTATTTTATTTTTTTCCTATAAATCCTCTTGCTTTCTTGATCTGTTGCTGCTTTTACAGATTGGAATTAGCAAATCTCTTCTGATTAAATTTATTTGAATATTGGGAATAGCTGCCTTTGGACTGAGTCATGGCCTGCTGCGTGTATGTGCAGAGTGGGGATATTCTGCAATGTAGGCCATCGCTGTGTACTGAGAGCTTACACAAGCGCTGCAGTCGAAGGAGGCTCCCCAAGAACAGCAGTTGGTCTCAGTGTTTGCAGTCTGTCTTCTTATTTCATCACATTGCTAAATATTTCTTTCACTGATGTCTTACTGATCCCTTTAATGTAGCATGAGAAGGGGTATGTGTGATATGTGCCTGCATTTATAATTCTTACACTGTTCTCCAGGGCTGAAGGCTCTTCCCCATGTACTGCAGCATAAGAGCACAGATTAAACACATTTGAAAGTGAGAAATTACATAAAATTTTCCACCAAAAAGAAAACGCGGCTTTTGTTTGAATTCTCTTTCCTGAAAAACCTGCCGAAGTCCTGGGCAGAGTGCAGAAGCAGACTGCAAGTCCCCTGTTGAAGTGATCTATTAATTATTATCTTCCACTCGGAGAACTCTGAACCAGGGTCGTTACTGTTTATTTTAAT